TAAACAAACGTACGATTAAAGAACTAAATTTTAAACGTTCAAAAGTTATCCCTCACCCCATCTTCTTATCACTCACGATGAGTCTTAATTAATTAATGCACTTGATTCACCTTAAAAGTGATTGTGAAATGAATTGATTTGAGAAGATGATATTATGAGTATAATTATTGTCACTATGGATTTTATTATTTAGTTTTTAAAATTAATATTTAAAAATATTAATTTATTAACTTGATTTTAATTATTAATTAATAAATACTAATTATTTCATATAATTATTAATTATTTTTATCATTTAAATTAAAAAAATATTTATAATTTTAGCAACCATAACTGTCCTGTATATCATGGTAATTTATTATTCTAATAAAGACGCTAAAAAATACTGTATGATATGCTTTCAATCAATGCATGCTTGTGCTTTATAAAATTCCAGCCTTGCCTAATTATTCCAAATTAGTTAGACCTAAACAACATATTATGCTTTAAAAAGAAATTAGGTGTGTAACAAATATTTCTTATGAGATCCTAATTAATTAAGGATCACCAAAAATGGATTTGGGCAGTACAGGATCCGACTTAAATCCACAAAAATCATACTTTCTGGAGTTTTCAACTCATTTATTTGATAGCATAATTGTACCACGCACGTTATTCTAATGAACCATAATGGAATTAATTAATTTAATTAATCAGTTAACGAGGTCAATCAAGAAAAAAGTAATCAATTAACTAGGGAATCAGAAGATTAGCCTTTTATAGTATTTATTTAAAGGTTAAATCCTAATTTTGTTTCTTTTAATTTTCTATGTATTTTTTAATTTATTAATAGTGAAAAAATAATTTTTAATTTTTTTGTCAATTAATCAGTTAAATTTATTTAAATGTACATCTTTTTAATCTCTAAAATTTTAAATTAAAGGACACAAAAAATATACATATATTATAAGTTAAGAAATTTAAAAGATATATATTTAAATTAATTTAATGGATTCACTAACAAAATAATTAAATAGTATATTTTCCAGAATTAATAAATAAAAATACCTAAAA